GTAAACTTTCTCAAGTGCTTTGAGCGATAAGATTCTCACTGTATACTTTATAAACGATAATATATATATAGTGATTATAATTATCTATTTGAAAATGTATAAAACAATTGTTGTAAATCATTGATACATTTTTATTGATAACTGTTTTTTTTTCTCGAATACGGAAATTTCCAGCAATTTGCCTTAAGGCACGATGCCATACACCGCTAGTTTAATTTATGGTAATTATGAATCTAGTATTCTTCTACGTAAATCAGGCCATCGATGGCAACAATCAATTACTTATTTTACTATGTACGATCAGTTATTCTGATTTTAGTTTCTTTGTAATGCAAATGCTATTTCAATTCGGAATTCTAAATTTGCATACTCTATATATCTTTCCACATACAGAGATAGACAAGTATACAAATGGATGAAAAAACGTACAAATGCAATAGTGTTTTTTGTGGGTTCAACAAAAACAACTCTCAGCGGAATAAATTCATATTGATTTTAATGGTCTCATAGAGAGGAGAAAATTCTCACTTGAGAGAAAAATATTTACTTTGTATTCAGAAATAAAAATACTAGACTTTAATTTTATATGCTGGTAAGTGAAGAATAGCACGTGGTTGTAGTTGCTATCTAAATATTTTTAGAGTTGGAAAATCAAAATCTGAAAACGTTATTCCATGTTGCTCGACCATATATTTCATATAATAAAGATTGAAGGTGGTTTACAACATATTTTATCATCTTATATTACTTAGAAGGCAATATAAAGATAATTTCAATAATTACAGAATTTTTAACAAACTGATTGTATATTTTATCCACAAACCTGCTAAATCAATTTTACGTTCATATATTAAATATATAATTAACATACCAAGTGTAATTTTGACTAATGACTATCTAAGATAAATAAATAAAATTTTAATTAATTATGCCATCTATTTTATTTTGTGTGAAATCACTTAATGTTTTAAATTGTTTCATAATCTCTCATGCCAGATACCCCTGTCTGACTGAGATATGAAAATAATATATAGAAAATATATCAAAAAAATAAAATGACAATTAAATCATAATATACTAAATAAATTTTATGGTAGTGTAGAAGGCAATAATATTATTAGAGTTTGTCAAAGATAACTAATTGAATTCACAAGTATATTTTGAATCAATATTATATTATACAAGTATTTCAGCGATTTAGTCAAAGTTTATTTTCAACTTCCCGTAGGGTAGTTCTAGTAATGGGCCAAAAATCGAAAATAATTTTTTTTGCATTTCTCCACGTTCTGAAGGTTTCTGAGCATTTTGGCATACCTCAGAAAAAAAGAATGTGTGTGTGTTTTGTGTGTCCGTAATTTTTCGTTCACGTTTTCGAGCGCACGGATCAACTGATTTGAATGATTCAAAAAATATTCAATTCCTATGGATAGGGAGATGCGCTGATTAGTTTTTGGCAAAGGCAAACTCAGCCGTTACGAAGATAAAGAGCAAAGTCGGCAGAAAATAGAAATCGAGTTTTTGAGAGATCGGAGTATCCGATTTGAATGGTCTAAAAACATTCAATAAGTAATGATTGGGAGAAGTGGTTATTAGTTTTCGGCAAAGGCAGGCCCAGCCATTTCGAAGATACAGAGCTAAATGTACAAAAAATGGCTGTTTTTGATAGAAATAAGCATCTAAATTGAATGATTCAAAAAACTTTCTGCTTGTCTTGACAAAACAATAGCTTTGGAAAAAAATATTTCAATGTTTGTTGTTGTATACAGGAAATAATTTAGATTTGAATTCTGGTTCACGCTAAAGCTCTAAAGACAACTTATATACTCTAAATAAATACTTTTAACTTTGTAATTCAGTTAATAACTAATTCTTATAAACAGTAGACAATATTACAGTATTTATAATAATCTATTTGAAAAATTTAATATTCCTCGAACATTTAATACGATACGGGAAGTTCCAGCAATATGCTTTAAGGCGCGATGCCCTACATTACTAGTTAAGTAAGCAAATTATATTCTCTCCAAATATTAATGTGTACAAATTACTATTTACAAGAAGTGCTTCTCTATGATGTAAGAGTACAGTAATTTTATATAAGATTTTATTCTATTTCTTCTCTATGTAAATGAATTTTCATATTTTCCAGAAATATTTCTGTCTCTACAAATATCATTCACTGCACAGTTATCTATACGTGACTTCTTATTAAGTAAAGATTTACCCAAGAAAATTTAAGGACATGACATTTAATCTCATTTTTATTTTGAACAAACAAGTCTCAAGCTAACTGGAAAATATAGCCATCAAAGAGATTTTTAATCTACGTCTCATGGCTGCACGGACTCGGAATAAAAATGTTATATGATAAAAATTAATTTTGTTTCATGAATTAATGAACAGGAAGATATATTTAGATTTATCAAAGGATTATTCGTCTGGTCAAAGTAAATACTAAATTACCTATATGGAATTATGTAAAATAAGTTCACTGAAAATTGAAAGGCGGTGAAGCATCCATAAAACGAGTTTGAGATAATTACACAAGCAAAAAATATTTTTATAATATTTTTTATTTCATCAAAATAAATACTTTTTCATCTAGTAAGTATGATTCTGACAAAAATAGTTCAATTTTTATTTATTAAATTTATTTTATTCTGATAAAGTGTAATGCCAAACAATTTTTACCACTGTTCTGCACAATTCTAGTATATTCATACTTTCATAAAACATTTTTCCTGCAAAATTCTTCTGTGTGTATAAAAATCATTTTAAGGGCATGTATATGACACATAGTTTTATTCGGTTTTTATGAGCCGTAACTTTCTCACTTTAATATACCAAAAATTGTACTCAAAGATAATGAACACTGTATTAGATGAAGCAATAAAATGAAATTGGGTAATAAAAATGTTATCCATGAGTCACAGCAGGTTATAGGACATACTTTTCTCTATAATACGTATAAATTACTATCGATTTGAAATTTATATAAAACTAGTTAGCTGCATGGCATCGTGCCTTACTGCAAATTGTTGGAATTTTCCGTATCAAAAAAATTTACACAATATTTGTACACATTTTTTAAATTTCTATAAAATATCTGCCAAAGGGGCCGTTTAAGTATTACGTAAGCACTATAGGGGGGCGGGGGGTTGTTGAATTGCTTATTTTGGGTAGACATGGGGGGCAGGGGAGTCTGGATGATGATTACGTCATAGATAGTAGCTAATAAGCCAAATTGTTACAATAATAGTAAATTACTATTAATATTTATCTTTTTGAGTAATAATGTTAGAAATAAATTTATATAAAATAGATTGTTTTTATTTCAGGAATAAAATTTTATTCATTTGTGAACTAATTGATGCACAACTATAGTCAAAGTTTGAATAGAATCATTAATGATTAAGATAATTAGATGAGAAAGAAATCTAAAATTTTTTTTCAGATAATTTAATTTAACTTTGTCTGGAATTTATTAATTCCTAATAGTCTATATATAATAATATAACCCAATTTAAAAAATATTTTAAGTAAAAATACAAGCAACGTACCTTTTCTGATTTAACCTTTAAACAGTTTTTCCCGACAGACGATGAGAAAATCCAAGAAAAGCCAATAACCGGAATTGCCACAATGGTTTCTAATCTGAAAGTCAATTCTCGGTAAATAAGGATTTCCTTTTAAGCTAATGAAAGAAAATTTACTGAAATGAAACTGTGGGGATAAATAAATTAGGATCGAGCTTAATATCTGTTTTACTTAATCATATATATTAACGTATTTTATTTATAGAGATAAGACTATGGAGAGATAATAGGATCAGATATTCGTTATAAAATCGATACAGTTAATTATTTTGCTATCTTTGCATATATTATATATACTCTCTAAAATCCAAAGTTATTTTTTTTATATAATTTATTTAATATTATATATTTATTTAATATATCTATTTATTTTTTTAATCATATGCAGATATTAAACATTTTGAATAATTTGTAATCTATATAGAGATAAATATTAATTAAAAAAAAACAAATGAAACTCTACCTTGCATTTTTTATAAAAGCCGTATAATCCGATTTATGCTATTGTATATTTTTAGCATGTTTCATAAATTGGAATAAAATGCAATAGGTAACAAAAGTAGCAATCATATTTAGAACATATGTATTTATATAAATATATATATATATATATATATATATATATATATATATTGAATTATTCTGAATTTTGATAAATGTCTTCGACTTTCTGATAATAATTAAAAGTTTAGACTACTTTTGCAACGACAAGTATGCGTATAAAAACTATAGAAACAAATTCTTTACATTTACATATTAAAAATATATTATTTCTTCTATAAATTTTGCAAATACCCATTTAAAATATATAAAACTTAGATGAAACTTACTGGAATTCCAAATGAAAATATTATGACAATTCTCTAAATAATATGAATCTGAAATTAATTTAGAGCATGATTATTTGAACTGCATCCAAATGATTAATTTCTATTGGTGTGTATTATTTAATCATTTCACGAAGTAAATCTAATTAGTCAAGCATATTGTTTTATCAATATGCATTCTAATTAAATAATAATTAAATTTCAGTATTTAATTAACTTTGTTATATATAATTGCATTTTGAGCATAGAGTGCCAAATGCACTACAATCAAAAATGATTATTAATTTTCAAAACAATTATTACAGTCAATAGTTGAAAATATCAATTTCAACAAATGAAGTCAATTAATTTTAAACAAAACAGTTTTAATAAAATTGTTAAAATGAAATCATGCATGAATTATAAAAATGTAATTTCTCACAAATTTATATGAATCTTTTGTAACATTCGTAAAATTAATGAAAATGGATTTCATATTTAGTATGAATTTTTTGGTTAATAAATACAAAATATAATTTTGAATTGACTGTAATTTTTATATAGTGTAATGTAATTTAAATATTTATATTTGTTGCAGAATATCTCTATCTTGGTAGTGTTGATTTATTCATGGCGAATTGGAATCAATATCAATAAATACAGTGAGCTTGAGGAAGTTTACTATGGTGAGTAGTAATTTATTACATACTAAAGACTCAAAGTAATTATTATATTGTACATTACTTGATAATAATTGAAGATTTATTGTTTAATCAATACGGTTTGTCCCGTTTTCAGAATAGAACTAACATAAACTATCTTTATTTTACTATCACGCAGAGAAATCAAATTATATTGAAATAGTTATTAAAATTACTGCTAAAATTGAGACATTTTCATGAACATTTTATAGGTAATAAATGTAAGGAAATATTAAAATATTTGTGAATATCAGCAAATATATTGAATAGTTATTTCTATTTTTAGTCATTTACACATTATGATTCAATTTTCAAAAATACTGTAAATTACAATTAATAGCTTCAATGAAGAGCAGAATAGGGCTATAAATTCAAATCTAAAATTCAACTTTATTGATAAAAATTTAGGGCGCTATTTAAATTATTCATAAGGTTAATTAAAAATGACGCCAAATAGTCATTAATACATTTTTTTTGTAATATTAGTATAAGTTCTTATTAACTTCTCGTAGGGCAACTTGTAGTAATCACAAAAATAAACGAAAATGAAAATTTTTGCATATCTTCACGTTTTAAAGGTTTCTGAACGTTTTGGCATGCCTTATAAAAAATGGATGTATGTGTGTGTATGTTTGGATACAATTTTTCGTCTACGATTTCGGTCGCACAAATCAACCGATTTGAATAATTCAAAAAACATTCGGTTCCTATTGACGAAAAGACGTGCTGATTAGTTTTTAATGGAGGCAGGTCTAGCCGTTTTGCAGATACGTTGCAAAAAGTGCCAATTACGGTAATTCAGTTTTTCAGAGAAGGGAATACCTGATCTGAATGATTTAAAAAACATGTTACTTGTATTGACGAATTGAAGACTTGATGAAATTTTTGGTAAGGCAGGTCTAGCGGTTTCTAGATACAGAAGAAAAAGTAAAAAAAAAGATATTTGGCGGTCAAAAATGATCATTAGACATGCACATGCAACTATCAGATATTTGATAAAGTTTTTTAAAATGAGTAATAATTTTGTTACAATTTTGTTGGGTTTCGTACCAAGATTGTTAATTTTAAAAGTTTACTTATACGGATCAAGCAAATTTCAAAATTTTCAGAATTTTTTTTCCAAATTTTCAAAAATATACAAAATTCTATACTTCAAATATGAATTTTAAATTTACAATTCAGTTTCACAATGTATATATTATCATAAGAAATATCCTCAGTCGTTATTCTTATCATAAGAAATATATCCTCAGATGGATTTATTTAGCACCTCTTGCTAATGTAAACTTGCTCAAGTGTTTTGAGCGATAAGATCGTCACTGTATATTTTATGAACAATAAAATATATAGTGATTGTGATTATCTATTTGAAAATATTAACAATTGTTATTAATTATTGACCAATATTTATTGATTACAGATTTTTTTCTCCAATTTTTCCTTAATTCTGGTACGGAGAGTTCCAGCAATTTGCCTTAAGGCACCTTGCTATGCACCACTAGTTATAACAAATAATAGTCAATATTTATCTTATTTCAAAGACGTTCTCATTATTTTACGCTAATTTCATTTGAAAATACATATACTATATATGGAATATTTGTTTTCCTAACAAGGTACGTAATATTACTCAATAGAGTCTCTCTATATAAATCCATATAAATTTTTATCTTCTCGATATCATAACAAATGGCTTTGATGTCGAGTCACGGTGTATCGGCCATAAATATAAGCACAGCCCATAAGTGTGCTCGGTCGGTCCATGATGTCGCTGGCGAAATATTACCAATATCAGATGAACAATGTCCATAGACCAAGAGTATTTTATATAGGAAATCGGAATCAAATAGTCATGGTTTATATGATATGATGATAACTATAGAACTGATAGTCCCAAAATACTGGCAACTGGTGACTGAACAGATACACACCTGACACACACACACACACATATATATATATATATATATATATATATATATATATATTATGTAGAGTTTCGAACAAGAATCCAAAAAGTAATAAAACACAAGAAAAGTTTTTTAATAAACAATTTCTTTCTTTATTCATTTATTTACTGTCGACGTTTCGGAACTAGGTACGTTCCATCTTCAGGACATCCGTCAAGAAACAAGATCTTGATAAGATTTAAGCAAACAATATGTTTACGAAAAGAAAATGATTTTTCAATTAATAAAATAGTTGAAAAAATAATGTATTAAATTAAAATAATTTAGGCAAACAATATGTTTAAGAAAAGAAAATGGATTTTTCTTAAATAATAAATTAGTTGTACAGAAATATGATAATATGATCAAAATGAAAATGATAAAAATAAATGAGTGGATTATCTAACAGGATAATAAAAATGATAACAAATTTTAGATAATCCACTCATTTATTTTTATCATTTTCATTTTGATCATATTATCATATTTCTGTACATTATCATTCTCTCAACTAATTTATTATTTAAGAAAAATCCATTTTCTTTTCTTAAACATATTGTTTGCTTAAATTATTTTAATTTAATTTTTTATTATTTAAGATATCCAAAATTGTATCGTAAGGACCGAGTTGTATGTATTCATCTTTACTTTGCCATTTGTTGTTTTAAAGTGAAATTTTTAACGTATTTTAAAAATATTAAAATTAGTTAATATTAAGATTAGTAAAAGTGCCAAAAAAAAAATATTTTTTGAAAACTTCATACTTGAATCTTGTGTTGGCGCCCCCCAAAGCGTGCGCTCGTATTTTTCGCATGCAGGGTAAGACCGGCCCTGATTATTACTTAATTTCATATTTTAGGTGAATTAGTTTGTCAAATCCTGCTCACATGTGTATCACTCAATATGCCATACTGTTTCTTATATTATTTTAATTTCTGGCATAACTCAGCTGCTTTTTGGCAATGATAATGTAGACATTTATTTTTTTATTCATAATCATAAATTCATTATGTATATTCTATTTGTTTTAAATGCCAAGCAAAGTCTCAAATATTTTCAATATCAAACAATAACATGCAGTTTTTCGCAATTCTTTCCATTTATTTTTACAATATTACTATATTTTTATAATCACATACATCATTAAAAATTCTGTTAACAAACACCCGAAAGATTTATCAAAATCCGAATAATCGTTTGGGAGGAGTATATTTACATACATCATTACAGAAGAATTTTATATATATATATATATATATATATATTTAAATTAAATTAATTATTAATTTGCTAAATATTAGTATATTCAACCCTTAATATGAATATCAATAAATAAGGTAAGCATTTGTATTGAAATATATGTATTTGATTTAGGAAAGTTGAATATTTTAAATACCAGATCTTTCTCTATATTTCCTCCGTATTATTGGTACGTTCGATCTTATGTTTATCAAATAAATCACATTCGAATAACAAAATTGAGGCCAGATATCGTAATATTTTCTACATTATATCAATATATATTGCAGTATTGGATAGTATGCTGAATAAATCGTTATCGGAATTCGATAGCCAGAGATAATCTATGTGATATAGAGATCATGTTTAGAAAGATTTATAGATATATTTAAAACAGCGGCGTCTGGGTATACATTTATAATGTTTACCTGTCTATATAGTTCTAAATTTATGTGATGTTTCATATAGAATAATAATAGATGATTTATGTGCAGTATAGAATGATGGGTTTGGGATATATTACAGATTATTAATTACCAGAGTTTATAACTATTGTTACGTTAGCATTGACATCATTATATAATACAATTAACATATGTTGCATATGCAATATTCTCAATCAAGTCTAGAAGTTCGATAACTACAAGTAAATTTTTCGTTCGTTCTAAATTAAACATTGTAAAACTAAAAATTATGTTGATATTAAGTTTATATAATATACCAAAATGTATAAAGTTTTTATTCCTTACAGTTTATGCCTGTTTTCTCTAATAATTTCTAGTAGAATCATTGGATATTCATGTTACAGAACGAAACGTTTCTATTCATTACTTTATATTACAGGTCACGTTCTTTTGACAAAAGCATCAATATGTAAGTACGTGTAGCATTTGTAAGAAAGTGCACTTTTGAAAGCTAATACACAAGTAGCAAGTGCTGCATTTCTAGATTATTTCTAGAACGAGCAAAAGAAAATTATATCTATTGATGCAAATTTGAGTGGACTACAAATAAGTCGCGAGTACGATTTTATGATATTTTAATTCATTTGATATTCGATGCTCACTGATGTTTTTGTTTCTCTAAGTTATCTATTTTTTATGTAAGCTGGTAATTGATTTTACTAAATCGACAATCTTTGAAATATATACAATAAATATATAAATTATTAATAATTTATAATCATCAACAAACCAATAAATTTATTTGTTGTTTTCGATTTTAGATGTAGCACATGACATATTTTTCATATTTGTAGTTTTGTGAACAAATATAGACCGTTTCTGCATCCTGAATTGTTGAAAGTTAAAAAAAATGATGCATTTATTTAATGTTTGTTGTGTTACCAAAAGCTGGTGAAAATACGGTGGAGCGATCTACTACCTTTTGCCCTACATTTTAATTATGACTTGCATGATATAACTTAATAAATATAAATAATAAATAATATTTGGACTGAATGATTAACTAAAAATAACTATAGTTTGACTAAAATAACTATAGTTTGACTAAAATAATTTGAATAAACTTCACACGGCTTTAAAATAAATTTTAAATAAATTATTTAAAATAAATAAAATTATATTAATTATTTGTTATAGTTTGCTTATGCATATATAAATATAGGAAATACATACATCGCATTCTCATGCTTAATGTTTTGATGTTTTATGGCAACTATTTAAGATGAAAATCCGATGCAACACAATATCGACGTCCTGTATAGCTCTTGCAATTGCCAATTCAACTATTGCATCTGAATCTATGAAAGAGATACTCTGAAACGTGATTCGTAAGTTAAATAGGAGTTCTTGAATGCCATAACAAAAGTTTATTCAAGTCATTCTTACACATGGCAACATATTTTGAAGAGATTCTATTGCAATTTTGACCAAATTAAAATATATCTATCAGGAAAATAAATCCACCAATAAAAACTTGAAGTAATTATATTATGACGTTTGTCGAAATATTTTATTTATGGATCATGAATTAATATGCTTGGCTTACATTTCATTAATTTCGAAATTGCAAAATTTATTATTTATTATAGAAAAAAATTTAATCCATGATATATTATATTATATAATATGCAATAATTAAACAATAATATTGTTATTCTAAAGTATTTGCTTCAATACATTTAATTTAATTTTATCTATATAGATTTAATTATGTGGTTTCATAATATTCTATTTTTCATTTGTTTGTCAACAGCGCAATACGAGAAATTTATTGCATTATTAGCTTTTATAACAAGAAGAATATTTTTATTACAAGACATGAAAAGAAGCTAATAATATGAAATCCTTTATTATAGTGAATTGTTTCTGAATAAAATAAAGTATGTTTTCATTCTTATCATTCCGGCTTATTGACATCGTTATTGAAGTTTTTGTACAGAAACATATCATGTTTTGAGAAATAAAATTCTTTGTTTACGACAGAATATAGAACAACGTTCGTTTAATTTGATTCTTTAGAGAAATGTTTTACGAAAAACTGGAACGATGTTATTACATTGCATTTATAAAGTCCTTTGGGCTCATATAGTAGAAATTGCGCTTATTCGATTAAATTGTATATGCAATTATGGGATACATAATTTCTAAATGTTGTGCACCGGGAAAGTGAATTTTAATCGGTAAAGAATATATTACCAAGTTATATAAATAAATTTTCTTATAAAAATAAAATGTTCTAAAGTTTTTTTAAAGCATAATAAATATCAGCAGCTTGTGTGAAAATGGAAAATACCTAAAGAGGGTATTTTTATATGGAAAGTAGGCGGTGCACTCAAAACCCATAAAAAGGACTTAAAGATTCCCTATGTATAAAAACACAAACCCGATCGTAAAATTTAGCGATAGTCGAAGACTAAAAGCGGATCCAATTCAAATTTACCACGTGTGTCTGCTGCACAGAAGTTTAAGTGCTAGTTGCCATAAAAGTCCTTTTAGTGCTTTTTGATTATACTTAGATCGTCTATTTTATTTATATATTTATAGTTTATCTCATGAAAATCAATCTTAATCAAGTTGAAATTGAAATGAACAAATCTTAACTTTATTTCACTGTCCTATTGAATTTATTACAACTCGTATTTATTACATACAATTTAATAAAGCAGATGGTTTTAAGCAAATGAATGGAATGGTATACCATGGTATAAGAAATTTTGAACGTGCAATCCCTCAGTGCAAAATGCCACACCAAGCATTTTATACATTTGAAATATATGCAATAAGCAATCGTATTTTAAATAGTTGTAATAATGTAATAAATGATAACATTGCGTTATCAAGTATTTCTTATTATATAACACATTTATCACATGAGTAATATATACATAAATACATAAATATAAAAATGATTTATTTATAATATCATTGAAATACCCTCATATAAAATATATTATGGAGATATGATTGTGCTGAGAAGATTAGGCAATAATATGCGGAAATTCGATTTTATTATTATATTACAAAATTTAGGTTTATGTTTTACTAATACAAGTATTTCTACCTACTTGTGGGTATAAGGGAATTAATCTCTATATATAAACCAGAGCATATGTTAGCGGTTTTTAGCAAGATTGCTCCTCTACCTCTGCTCCCATCTCTAGTATAGGTTAATATCCTCCTAGCCTATCGGAATGATGGATGAATGTGAAGATTTTCTTGCTTCGGAGCAATCAATCATTGCTCCATTGTCTCCTTGTAACGTGTCACTTGTAATTATATCCAAGGTTCCGATTTTGTGAGAACAATAAATTTATTTTCTCTTAGGTGCGTGAGTCTCAAAAAATACCTTGCTTAATTAAAACTGAATATTTCATATTGAGAAAATGAGAAACATTTCAATACTAAGAATGTCATGACGAAGAGCTAATATTTAAAATTCTATAATTTTTGTAGTTTTTATACTGTTGGCAGTGTTGGCTATTGCTATCAAATATAAATTAAATTAAAAAATCTCATCGAGACATGCTATATGTTTGGAATAAATTTGACTATTAAATTTTTTTCCAATTCGTGCTTTGAAAATTGTATAGTAATTGGTGCATTATACTTTCGTGTTTTTTGATTTTTTTTCAAATTATTTGTATGCATTTTCAATTAATGGGCGTTCACCCAAGAACAACTTTATTTACCTACATACATATATATATATATATATATATATATATATACAGAGCCGGTCATGGGTCCTCAGCGCCCGCATGCAATTTTTTTCTAGCGCCCCCACTTATTATTTTAACTGTTTTAACACTTTTTCATTAAAATTGTAAGAAGATTTACGTTATTTTTTTGATTACTTTTTAATAACTCTGGATTTAGTACGCAAAAAATTAGATATATAATATAAAAGCACATTGATTTTAAATTTTTATTAAATATCGTGGCGATTAGCGGGTTCTTCATAATCACTATCAAACTACTTCTAAATTCTTAGTTTTAATCCAAATTTTGTAGGACTTCCAAATATTTCAGTATATTTATTATAATTGAAATAATATTTTTGAAAAAATTTACTTATTTATTTTGGAGATTTTATGAGATTTATTCTATTAAACACATCATGTAAAGCAAAAAAATTCTAGCCTTTTATTATTAAACATAACACTGGTGCTTTATGTTGGATTATTTTATTTTGATTTTTCATTATTTAAAATATCCAAAATTGCATCTTAAATATTGCTCAAAAATTAGTGAAAAATGCAAAGAAATTATATGTCTCTTGAATTATATTAAAAAAAAAAAACTATATTGAAAATTTCATTTCCGAGTCTCGTTTTGGCGCCCTCTAAGGCGTGCGCCCGCATTTTTTGCATGCATCGCATTCAAGGTAGGACCGGCCCTGTATATATATATATATATATATATTCACATATATTATATTAATTTTATTATATAACTATTATGGATGCATTTAGAATGAATATTATTTATCCGAAGAAGTTGTTGTGATTTTGTACGATTGCTGAACGAATGTTTTCCAATATAAATAAATGATTTATATTTTTATTATTATTTCGGCAGTAAATCAGTTGCTAAAATGTCAAATACCGATTTAACATAATCCATAAATCATTTTTTGTTGTCAGGGGTTCAAATGGCGTATCTGGCAATAATAGTCACGCAACTTTGCATGGTAATCCTGAGCATGATGCTGCTATTTGGAATTTATAAGGTAAGTCGTATTGAAAATTTACTAATAATATTTATTATATATATACTTATATATATATATATATATATATATATATATATATATATAACGAATTCTCTATACTGTGAATTCAAAAAAGCTATTTTAAAAGCACGGCATAGGCTGAATGAGAGAAAAATTATTGAATTTATTATATACAATCTAAGCCCTGAAATGAAATAAATTCTTAAAATGCAATTATGTATAAATAAATTTGTACTGAAAATATTTTTTCATTTAGTTGCTATCGATCATTCAGTTCTTATACATTGAGTTGCCAATATACGATTTATTTGAATTTTTGAGTTGAGTTGCCAATATGAGATTTATTCATGCCCAATTATATTTACTTGAAACTGAGTTTTTTCTGCTTATGTTCGAATGAAATCATTCTCAGTTAGTTTGCCTCTAAACATAGTCCATTTACGGAGCAAAACCTAAAGTTATACGAAGTCCCAAAAGTTCTGCGAAATAATATATAAATTAGAACTCGGAACATGTAATTGAATTCCACTTCCAGATAATATAAATCGTAGTTTCACAAACAGAAAGGATAGTAATATACATAGATTACTAGACACACAGCATACATACATTAACATATATATATTTATATATATATATATATATATATTTATTTATTTAAATAAATGAATTTATTAAAAGAATAATTCATAACATATTATGAGACTATAATAAAGACAGATAAAACAATGTATATTTTTTATGCGTTTTTATACATATATGTGTGTTAGTTGTGTGCGTGCATACAAATTTTCGTCGACGATTCGATTCCTATTGATAAGGGTACGTGCTGATTAGTTTTTGGCAAATGCAGGTCTAGCCGTTTCGGAGATACGAGGCAAAAAGTGCCAAAAATGGTATTCCAGTTTTTGAAATAACGGAGCACCCGATTTGAATAATTCAAAAAATATTTTAATTGACGAAATGAACAACTGGTGAAATTTTTGTAAAGACAGGCCCAGCGTCTCAAAATAATGCTATTAGGCATCAGATATTTTATAAAGATTATAATAATAAGTACAAATTTTGAGTAAATTTATATGGGTTCTGTATCAATTTTTACACAATAGACGATTACGCGCTTGATATTTCGACTCTAAATCAGCTATGCAGCGCGATCAAATAAAAAAGTGTTCACAATTTTCAAAAAAAATCAAAATACAAAAAAATCAAAATAAAAAAAATCAAATTTTTCAAAATAGTAATTTTTTTTAGAAATCTTAAACTTTCTCGAAAATATTTTTTTTTTCGAAGTTTTGCAAAATATTTTATTTTTCAGTATAGAAAGTTAAGTTCAAACCTTAAGGCATTGAAAAGTTGGAAACAATTTGTACGATATGATGTCTATAATAATTATTGTTGTTATTTTATTTTCAATAATACGCACTACTTAAATAATGTTTTGGTTATTCCTAGAAAAAGATCAAAGTATTTGAAAATGTCAATTTTTTTCTACAAAATAAATGTAGTTAGTTGAAGCAAATATGAACAATTGAAGATGGATGGATAATATTTAACACGATTTTTTCAATAGTGAATATTATTGAAAACTTAAACGATTTCATTATTAAAATTCTATGCTTCCTGAATTTTTCTCGCCCATTCATCCCATTGTGAGAGATCCTTTTCTTCCCGTTTTCAGATTTCAAGCACGACCTAAAACATGCGGATTGCTTCGCATAAATTTACTTGGCGCAATCTAACGAACTTAAAATCTTTGTCTTTTGTTAGTGGAGTGTATTTATGCAAATGAACATTTTCAGTGCAATTGAATTACTTAGATGAACTAATTGTGAAATGTAAGAATACTTCGAGAACTTTCGAACTGGTATATAAAAGAAAGTTTACCTTTGGTTCACATAAAATTATTGTCAAAGAATGCGGAGATTGTGATAAAATTAGGTTACTCGTAATGAATTTAAATACTTGAAAATAATATTCACTCCAAATTCTCAATTGCATTATTAACTTTATTAATAAAGTTACTTACATTCAGATAAATACCTATATAGATCATGAATGTAACAAACTTGAAATGCTATTATTAGATTGAACATAATATTGTCTATAAATTCAAGATTGAGGTGAAAATTTCAAATACAAAAAACAGATATACTAATATTCATTATTTAAACCATAATGATTTTTTCAAAAAAGAATCCAATAATTTTTTTTATTCAATTTTAGTTTATAAATCAAAACTTTAGAACAGATTGACATTATTATAAAAAGATTTGTTACAATAGTTGTTTAATAAATAATAGACCGATTATTTGAAAAATGTTCGTTTTTCTGTTATCAGATCATCTAGCTGAAAAAATGTTTTTTCAATTTATAATGAATAAAGTTCAATTGATAATAATTAATCAGTCTGTCAGTCAGAAACATTGTCTGGTGTAAGTTGTCTGACGAAAAAATTTTCAATTTTCTGCTATTTACGAAGAAACGGCTTGGGTGATCGTCGCGCAAAATTGATAAACGCTAGTTCTCATCGAGATACATAGAAAGGCTTTTAAATTTTTTAAATCGGCCTAGCCGTTTTTGAGAAAACGTCAATTTACAGCAAAATATCTGTTCACACACACATACTTTTTCCAAATTTGGTTTCGATTCAGTATGACTTGAAACGTCGAGAAAACATAAAATGAGCAAATCGTATTTTTTGATGGAAACATAAACTTCTTCTTCGGGATGTTAAAAATGGTAAATATATTTTATGATAATTTTTTTGAAAATGAAGCATTTTTATGACAGGTACGATCTCACTTCTTTACATAACGCTTTAATCCTTATAACAGCATTTTGCTAATTAAAATATTTTTTAAGAAAAAATCCTAACAAGCAATAAACTTGCGACTAATTTTTGTTTGCCTGTTATCTTATTTAAGAAGCATTATATACACCTGCAATTTTCAGAACAAAGGACTTTTAAATGATGAAGTATATGAATACGTTTTTATTTAATAATAAGAACCTCAAAGTCTTGAAAATATTAATGAAAATGTTGCAGACATATTTCTATATCACCAAATATATGCATACAAAATGGATATATGATAGAATTTTCATAATATAAACAACAATTTATTTGAATTAAATATGGAATATATATTATAGAATTGATATTAGTGAATCATAAATATCTTTAATAAATATATTTATATGATATATATGAAGATCTATCGAAATTTTAGTAGCCAAATTAAATGTAGCATAAAAATTTCTAGATTCTGTCTGTATTTTTACAAAAATGAAACATTTGTACAAAATGAGTCACACGGCTACACTTTCATATCACACATATTACTTAAAACCATAATGTATTCTCTTCCAATTTCCAACAATATCTTTGATGTTTTTTTTCAAAAGTTAGAAGTCCTAAAATTTGCGCTGTATTAGTCAGAAACCACTTATTTTAAAGAAAGCGGTTGTATTCTGTCGGAGAATTTAATATAGAAGTTTCTCCTTTTTTCCTTTCTGTTATTTTATGAACAGAAAATATCGAAATAAAAAAACTTTGCGGAATGTTTGAAGAATTTCATGAGTCTGCACATTTTTTCGAACACGTCAACAAATGCGAGTAGATATGTGCTTTATTTACTATTTTATTAGGCACCTTGAAATTTGAGGTAAAATGTTGGTATGGAACTCATTATTTATATTATTAGTTTTAATTCTAAATAATATAAATTTCAATTTCGACTGATTAAGTCAATTCTTACATATTTCGGACAGTTCATGCAACTTGCGTGAAGGCTAAATGCCACTTTTAACTAGTTAATATATATTTTATCTTTATTACTGGTTATTAACTATGAATAATACTGGCAATTAACTGAATAAAAATTAAATCTTATTTTTATGTACAACAAAAATTAGTTTTTATTTTAATGCAAAATATTATCAATAGATTTTTTTATATTTTACCATGCTTTAATATGGTGCATGTTGTAAAAAACTGCAAATATATGATTTTTAAAAAGTATTTCTCAGAGCTGGAACTACTAATTCAATTATAAAATTCATAACTGAATCAAATTACCTTACCTCCATAATGCAAGTTTAGTATCGAGTGAGTGCAACAAAAGTTAATATAATAAATCATTTACATGTCAAGACTAATACACACAAAATAATATTACTGACTGAAAATTTTAGCCAAGATAGATATGTTAGTGAAACTTTTGTATAAACAGAAAGTTGAACAAGTTTAAATTGAATCTGTGTAGTTTAAACTGATTGCATTATAAAACTTGGAGATTACAAAATAAAATAATTGAACGAGAATCGATTTCAATCAGAAATGAAATGAAACATTATTGATATAAAGCGATAGGATTGGATATTAAATAAGCCAGGAAATATATAGTAATTTAATATCTTCTGGATGAGAAAAGTGGATACTTGGAATTGGTAATAAATGAAATGTAGGTTAATATAGTAATTTATTTTGCATTGAAAATCTGTACTTAAGTTATTTTAGTAGAGAAAAGAAATAAATAGACTGAAATACATATCATGTTTTTGCAATAGATTTTCTTCAGAATTAATAAAATTGAGGGTTTTTCATAAAGTTTTTGAACGCGGTATTTTAAACTTTTCTTAGGGTAATATATGTAAGTAATCGCAAATCATCTCTATGCAGCTAACGCAGTTTTGAAAAAAAGTTCCTAAATTTGCAAAGTATTTCAAAATTTTTCAAAAATTTAAAATTTCTCAAAAATATATTTTTTGAGTTTAAAGAAAAAATTTATTCTTTCAAAAAAAAAAATAAATTTTTAGCACAGGAATTTCCAGCAATTTGCCTAAAGGCACGATGCCATACACCACTAGTCAAAATTATATTTAGAAATTCTTTTAATTGAAACATAATTACTCGCATCATGAGGTAAATATTATAAGTAAGAAAATATATTCACAAAGGTATAATAAAAATATAATAATTTTATCTATAGAAG